AAACCCATTGCCATCTCTGTAGGTCACATGCAGACTCCCATAAGGAGCCCTTCCCGTTTCCCAGAACACTGAACACGGCAAAAGCGCGAGAAAAATAGCACCACATGTTCACCTCTAGGGTCTCAGATTACCCAGAGAAAGATTGTTTTATCCAAGCACAGAGAGAAACACTGCGGCTAAAGTGAACTGAGCGTTTAGGCACTGGGTAGCTGCCGCCGCCAAGGCAAAGTCTGTGCAGAGCAGCAGGAGGCTGGGTCAGCCACCTTCACCCGACAGAGTGCGGTTTGTGCTACTGGCTGGCACCCCACCTGCTACATGGACACTGCTGAGACCCAGGGTTACTGAAGCCCGGCCCTTCTTCTCCAGGTATCCACTCCGCAGCACGGGTACTCTTACCTGGATATCACTGAGGGGGACACTAGTGACAGAGGGGCAAGTGAGGTGCTGTGGACGTGGGCTCTACTCTGAGCAGCCTGGGTACCCAGACATTACTATCACCACCGCCTTGGAACGGGTTGACCTGGCACCAACCCGTTTCTCCTTAATCACCCTGGAAGAAGCCAAGGAATTTGGAAGCCATTTCTGCACTCCTGCCATGCTGCACATGGCAATATAAACACTGCTCTGAAAGAGTCTATTGGGGTAATTAATCATTTCAACCCCGATAGTTTTTGGATGGGCTCTGATACCTCTGCCGTGGGAGGAATGTCTAAATGCCTAGGCAGGGCATCGTCTTTTTCAAAAACAATCCAACAAGGGCTGTTTCTTCAGTAGTCATTTTGATCTCAATGCCCTGATGACTGGACCTCAAAGAATGATTTAGGTGTTTTTCTACAAAACAAGGCAGGTATTCTCTGGTGCAGCTGCTCTTGGGAACACACAGAGCCCTCTGTGAAGTACGTCTTGATACTTACAGAGATTTTAAAAGAAAATATTTGGGCTGTGGTTTATGAATCAAACAGTCTTAAGTATGTAAATAAGGAGGGGCTGGCTTTCCTTCCAGAATAGCACACAGGACTGTCCAGCCTGGGCCACCTTCTAACAGCCAGGCTGGGCTGTGCAAGGTGCCAGCAGGTTTGTTTCCTGACCCAGGGCAGACAGGCATGGATTTTGCACAAGGCATTGACACAGACTCATGGCTGTGTTGGGTGCTCTGGTGAGGATGAGCCCCTTGGTAAGTACAGACACCTAGTCAACTCTCCTCAGAAGCCTTCTCAGAGCTTGTGCTTGGCAACCTGTGTTCTCCCTGGGGGAGTACATCTTCTTGATGTGTCTCACTTAATGTGTTACACCCTGGATCAGGGGTCGGGAGCCAGGCAGAGCAGAGGCAGGGAAGGACAGAGGCAGGAAGCAAGGGGCTAGTTAAGACCCCCTTTTCCTTTTATCTGGGGTTGTGGTGGGCACAAACAGGTCAAGGCTCTGCCGTGCTTTTCTTTTAGGGTCCTAGAGAGGGTGGTGATGGGCTGATAAGAGCCAGCCCCATGAACAGGGAGGTTTGGAGTAAGGCTGCAACCATGAAAATATCATCTGAGGCAAGATTTTGAGGCTAAAACATGAGGCAAGGAGCCCAGAAAGTCAAGTGGCCACACCAGGCGCTGGTGGTGAGAGGGCACCCCATGCCCTCAGGGACAGAAGTGTCTTGATCAGTCCTGCTTCAGGAAGGTCACCCTTGTCCTTTTGGGTAGAAGCAGGCCTGCTACTATAGAGAACTAAACCATGGAACCACCAGCGTGGAACGGTTGAAAGGTGGGAATCCTCATGGACCGTAACTAATTGGGATAATTACTCAAACAAAGTACTTTCTCTGACTTGACCCATGGTAGGAAGTGTTTTGGAATATATAATAGGCCACATGGCTCAATTTTCCACCTCAGCTTCATTTGCAGATAATTTTTAAGATAGTTTTTCAGTTTACATAAACTTCTTCTTGGAGAGGACACGAAATAAAGTGTGTTTATGAACAGGCTGATTCCTGGTAGATTTGATTCTTCATTGCAACAGAGAAGAAAATTTACCAGCCTTGTCCTGACTTTTTAAAAGAAGAAACAGTATTTATCCTTTTAAACAGATTTTACATTTAAGCGCGCACGTGCACGTGTGTATGTGTGTGAGTGAGTGTGTGTGTGCGCGCGCGCAAGTGTGTAGGTGATATGTGTGTGCAGTTTCCAGGGGGAAACCAGAGTACCAGAAGAGGTGTCTGATACCCTAGAACTGGAGTTACCTGTTAGTTACGGGAGTTAGCTATTGTGAACCACCTGATATAGGTGCCAGGAATGGAACTCGGGTCCTCTGCAAGAGCAGTTAAAGTGCTTTTAACTGCTGCACCGCCTCTCCAGCACTTAGCATACACCCGAAGGGTGTTCATCTTTTATTAATAGCACAAGACACAGAAGTTTACCCTGGCAGTCATTTCTACTCGCCTATGCTTCGTGATTCCGTAGCAGTCCAGAGCAGGCGAAGGGTGACTTAGCGTTGTGACTAACATGGGTAGATTCCTTCCCCACTTCCCTGAGCAAGGCCAGGACAATGGCGAGCAGTCATAAAGTCCTGATGTAGATCTCTGGGTTGGCACTAGTGACTTATGTGGCTTATGGTGTGAAGATAACCAGGAAAAGTTTTTGTTTCCAGCACAACTCCCATGTGCCTCTCACATATAGCATTTTTTTTTAAATTCACACTCTTATTCTCCCCTGTTTCACAGCAGAGAAGTAAAATTCTATGATGCAGATGGTTCTTCCTGCCAGGCTGGTCCCATAGCTGTATCAGCCCCAAATAAACACACAGACATTATATTAATTATGAAACAGTTGGCTGGTAGCTTTGGATTCTTATTGGCTAGCTCTGTCTTAATTATTTAACCCATAACTACTGATCTGTGTATTTCTGCATTGTCTTATCTTAACAGAGAACACCTGACTCACATCCTCTCTTCCCAGGCTCACATGTCAATTCCTCTCTGCCTATACTTCCCAGAATTCTCCTCGTCTGGTAGCCCCGCCTATCCTTCCTGCCTGGCCACTAGCCAAATAGTGCTTTTTTCATTAACCAATATGACAAACATACATACAGAAGGACATTCCCCCATCAGTTCTATTTGTGAGCTAATTAGGTCTCTCAGAAACTAATTAATACTCTCGGGAAACATACATTCAAACGTGTTGCATTTACATCATGGACTCTGTGATGCTTTCTCACATGCCAGTCAATGTGCAGGGGACCAGAGATGGGCACTGGAGCAAAGCAGAGTGCATTGCTGGATTAGCACTTTCTGGAGGTGATCATGTGACCCACAGAGTTGCTCATGGGGGAGGAGGGAGGCAGAGAACCAGTCTGAAGCAGATTGTGCTTCCCATATGCCCCCACAATTTCACTGACCCCGGCCTCATTTACAGCTAGAAGGACCTCATCACACTGAATAATTTCTAGCCCTTTGCAGATATTTCCTCCCCCTCCATCCTGGGTTGAATTGATGAACTGTCCCTGACAAACTTGACGTCTCATCCTAAGGTGTGTGTTTCCTTAATATAGAAACAAATAATCATAAAAATAAAATTGTAAATTGTCCATTGATTATGTAATAGCACTTGGTATTGCTACAGGGGTAGATCTTGGATGAGGCCAGGTTACAGCCAGGCCTGTCCAGGCCCTCTAGGGCTCTGTGATTGCTACTGAGCCCACAGAGGCATTGGACATGACCTTGTGGCAGCACAGTGTATATTTTGTGTCTCACAGGGGGTTTGGGGGCATGGAAATGGTTAATGATGAAACAGCAAACGGGACTGTGTACGTATGGTAAGCCAGGAACTGGCTGAGGGAGGCTTCTAATTTGCCACTGACCTACAGACATCTCTGCATGGATTCTACAAGCAGAATGAACAGCTAATGGTTTGAGCTCACCATGAAAGGCAGGGAGCTAACAGATACTAACTTCATATATGTATATCCTAATGGTTGATTGACTGTTTAGCTAGGTATAAAATTCTGTGTTCTCTCCTAAAAACAGGGTATTTTTCCTTAACTTCCATCCCCTGGATTGCCGATGAGTTGTCTGACTCCCAACATTGTGTTGAGATGTGGTCGTCTACCTGCTGGGCTGAATGTAGCTCATCCCTGTTTGGAAATCTGCACGGATACCTCTGACCAATGCACTCCTGTCTCCTGGTATGGCGGACATTTGGGAGATGACTGCACAAGGGCAACTCAATGCATGGAATTTTGATAATTTCTGATGTTATCTAATTATTTCCTCTTCCTGCAGGATAAAGAAGTCACCCTCCAGGAGCTGCAGGCTCCTCCTTCCCACATCTGATCCTCACAATTTAGTAACTCCTCCCTGTAGGTAGCTGTCACGTCCATGTATTCTGAAGAAGGGCACACTTATAGGACTTGCTGGAAATGAGGATGTTTTTCTTTTTCTGAGAGATTTTGAAGCTCTGTGTTCTGGTAACTATTTCAGAGATTCAGTGACAAGTCTCATGCTAAGGTACAACTAGGAAGCTAACAGGATATTACAGTGGGACAGAATCAGGAGAAAACCCTGAAGGGCCACATTCTTGTGCTTCTAGAAGATCTGAGAGGATGGGTGTGTTGGGCAGGAATGAGAATGAAAGAATGAGAATCAGTGGCTCTGTTGAGGTCAGAGTCTATGTGTGCATAGCACGGGCAGCAGAGTGAGCCGCTGAGAGCCACAAGTTCAGAAATAACAGTGCTGTGTGTATGTGGTGTTCACTCACCACACTAGGAGACTTGGACCCATAATTCAAGTCTTGATCACACAGTGGTGGTCTAGTCATGCAGCAGGGATGTTGGGTAGGTGGCTCTTGGCCAAGTGAGGATGTGTTCTCCAGGGGTAGGAGGAATTCTTGGTGGGAGTGTCTGTGACCAGTGCCCTGGGGACAGTGTCCTTGGTCAAAGCAAGCTACAGTGTTCATTCTCTGACAATAGAAGAAAGTTCCTATTGGGTTTATTAGTGAAAATGGTGAAACACTCCCCATGTCGTGAGGGGTGAGAGTTGGAGGTATGAAGAGACACAAAGGTGACAAGGAAGGAGATTTTTCTCATAAAGTACCATAAATTATGCTCAGCAAGTTGGCTTTCCAGGAGTGGATTAACACCACCCGTCAGCATACATGGTGACAATGCATCCATATGCTGTAGGCTGACACAAAAACACCTTAACAAAGTGCAGCATTGTACTGCCAGCTCCCATCTGTGTAAGACCTCATCCAGGCTCTGCTGGGCCAGACAGAGGTTGCCTCTGTCTAGCTGCCCAGTGAGACTACAAGCTCCCTATACAAGAGAAGGTACTGTGGTCAGAGTGCAGCTAACTGGGATTATTTTTGCTTCTTATGATGTCCAGCTCTGCTGGCCCAGCTGAAACCATAAACATTCAATTTCAGAAGCCTCCTTAAAAACCACAGATTTAATATGCTCAGTTCCAGAACCTTCCATGAAACTCTTAAAGGTGCCTCCTCCCTAACACTGTTCCTCATCCTGCAGTGAAGTTTCACCTTTCAGAGGTATAGCATGACTTGGTCTACTGCAGGGTAGTCTAGAAGGGAGGCTTTCTTTCTAGACTTTCTTTTTGATTGATGGTTGAAATGGGAGATTCCCCAAGAGGGCTGAAGAGTGCTAACCCAAAGGATGCAGAGATACTGAACAAATTCCCGTGGAAGCAGACAGGCTTAGGTGTGACCTCAGGACAGCTCAGCTGATGGTCTTTTATGTGCAGCCTCCCATCTCTCCTCTGTGGTGGACCTCAGTTTATATGATGGCTGGCGGAGCATGGTGGGGGAATGTCTGTCCTTTGGGACATTTTGGAATTCTGGAGGAGTCTAGCAGCGTTGTTAGAGAAGGTCTGAGAACCAGCTTATGTGTTCCGGTCTGCACTATGGGGAAGGAGATGTGTGCCCGTGGGGAACCACCATGTGCAGCTACTTTGTACATGCTGCCTGCTCAATCCTTGATAAAGTAGAGGTGATGGTGACTTCTGGAAGTACTGAGGCTCGAAAGGCCCCAGAGGCTTCATCTACTGATGTTACTGTCTCTTTCTCTCTTTCCTAATGTGCCTATGCCATGAGACACATAGGAGAGATGCAGCGCCCATTTCACTGAGCCGAGGAATCACTGAGTTGTGCATATTCCAGACTCTGTCTCTTCCTGACTTAGGTGTAAACATTCCTGCTCAGACCCTACATCTCCCATCCTCCCATCCCCCAACCTCCCCCTACTCCTGCAGGGTAGAAAGTAGAACCTTAAGAAAGCAGAACGAACCCCAAAACAAAACAGCCACTTTCGAGGGACGAAGTCTTGCTAGATACTAGAAGGGGTACCTTTCATATGCATCTGTCTCCACTCCATACCTTCTTTGTTCCATGTTCCAAACACTGCTGTGCATTGAGTTGAGGTGTAGAGGTGACTTCACTCTCTGGCATCAGTACTTTTATGACAGCTGATCCCTCATGAAACCAGTGAGGGGTCTTTCAGAATGGTATGAATCCTCCACAGACTCTACCCATAGTGGTGACGCTGTCCCAAGCTTGTGACTCATCATGAGGACCATGCAGCTCAGTCCTGCTGCTGGCTGCCCAGATCCAGTAGGCTTCCCTGTTGGGTTCTTGCTGGAATGACCACAAGTAACTCATGCACTTGGCAGTGAGAAAGAAAAGGATGATTGTGTGTATATGGAGAATTATATTTCTTAATCACAAATCTCTCCTGGGAATCCTTGGCTGTTGCCCATCTCATTGTCTCCACAGTTAAACTCAGATTCAAGTGGTGTCTCCATTATGCAGACTTTCTTTGTTCCTTGACCCAGAGGCTCCCTCTCCCTTTGTGAGCTCACTCTGATAACTTGCTCACACTGCTAAGCATCCCATTTGAAAGTGAGCTTCTGCTGTGCTCAGTATGAAGTATGCTCCTGCCCTCATGGAGCTTTAAGTCCATGTTTTTTCTTATTGATGTGTATTCATGGTACATAGTGTGGGTTTTGCATAGACAATTTCTCTCAGGTACTTTATGTACTCTGTCTGTACTCACCCCTCCCATCCCTCTTTGGTCCTTCACTTCCTTTTCTTCTCTACTGCTCTCCTCCCTCCCCCAAATATCCCTTCTGCTTTCTCATCATACTCTGATGATGCATCAAACTTTAATTTGAGCGCTTTCTAAATTCCAAGATGGCATAATGGCTGTGATAATGACTTTGAGGCTTGCTCCATTTTGGAACACAAATAAACAGAAAAATGAGTAGTTTTCCAGATAGAGCCGCTTTTCATATGCTTTATATAAAAGAAGGATTATATTTCACTTGGGAAAGCCAGAAGAGGATTATTTAAGAAATTATGCTAAGACAAAGTTGGCTATCTGTGCAAAAATAGAATTAAATATTTATTTAATACTATTTTTTCAAAATTAATTCCAGACCAATATGAAAATGAATAATTTTTAAGAACTGGACACACATGTTGGAGAGTAATAAGCTTAAAATCAAAGAACGTTTTCTAAGATTTAACTCAAGGAATAATAAGACAAACATTAATTTTATTTTATAAATAGGAAGTTATATGTTAAAAATTATAAGGGAAATTAAGTTGCAAATAGTAACTGGAAATAATTTTCATCAATATATAACATAGCCAATAAAGTATAAAAAGCATTAAATTGACTAATGGCATAAATAAAACATTCATAGAAAAAAATGACATGAATAAATGAAATCAAATGGCTAAAATAAATGACAAAATGTTCAGGCTAACTTTATATGTACTTAACACTGCCAGCTACCGAGTCAGCAAGGAATTGCAAACATTGGCTGACACTCTGAAAATGTGTCTGGGATCCACAAGTTTATAAGAAACACTGACAGTGTTCTGGGGACATGGTTTTCCAGCCAAGTTTCTTCAGAGTCAGCAACACTTTGGAGTTGACCACTGGGAACAAATGGGTGCTAGAGGACTGGTACAGCCCAAGTTTGTGTCATATACACAACTGTCTTACCAAGTTCTAGAAGATTCTCTTGAATAGACCTTCCCAGTTTGTTGCAATGTTTTGTTAAGTTGCATAGATTCTGAGCTAGCTTGTTTCCTTTGCTTGTGGCATTTCAGTGCTTGGTAGGAAAGCCAGCCAGGGACCATCTGCGCACTATCCTCTGGGAAGCAGACAGTATTCATGGTACTCTGTAGTTATTAATCTACAGGTGGCTGATGCATATTAACAAGGCTCGCCTTAGCTCCTGCTACATTTAGGGAAAAGGGAGTTCAGGATCATTTGGGTCTTACATTTACCTTATATTGAACCTGCAAAGAAATGTATTTACTTATAGACTCGGGCATAAAATGCCAGGAAGGCAGGCAGGTGAAGTCCTTATGAATGAATTCTAATACTTGCAAGCATTTTCTTTCCTTTAGCTGAATATTGAAAGAAACAAATAAAGCATAACCATTTTAGCTAGCTAGTTATGACATAAAATGAAGTCTTCTTTGCACTGACTCTAGAAGTCAGGATAGAAGTGTCATGGATAGCCTTGGGATTCTGTGGGATTGTGTGTCCCCAGCGCTTGAGGCTTCCCTTCTCTGAACTTGGGGCCTTATTAACAATCAGAGCAGCTAAAACAAAAAAGAACCTACTCATCGATTTACATTTAGCAGGAAAAAGTAAGAAAACTATTTCTTATCCCAAATAAAGTTCTACTGCAGAGACTTTGCAGCTCTGATTTTGCATTATTCATTTCTCCTACCAGAATTCTTGTCATTTTTGTAAAATAGAAAACATATGAGAAAAATTAGATGGTCTGATTCATCATTGGGAGTAAACCAATTCACTCAGGCTAGCTGCATGCAAGTCAGAGGAGGGGCAGGAATATCTATGCATCTAATATTGTCAGATTTCACAAACAAGATGTACTTGCTAAAGCTTGCATATCAACACTTTACATTGAGTTTAGGATTTTTCTCATTGCAAACCAAACATTGGATCTCTGTTCTGCCCTTCTTATAAGGCAGGATGCAGTAGATTGAGAAGGGGTTCCAATTCACTGAATCCAAATTCATAGATTTCCTCGCCTTACTAAATACGCTCTTGTCCTCTGTCCCTGTTTCGTTTTAGATATTATGTGGAATTTTGACAATGTAATGGCTATTCTTTTATGTATCAAACTAGACTATGCAACATCAACTGCTGTTTGCTCCCCTAGTTTTGTATCCTCTATCTCAACTACACTTGTGAATATTTTAAACAAATGAAACCATACCAACCTTTAAAAGGCAGTGTAATTTACACTGTGAGTATTTTAAACAAATGAAATCACACCATCATTTAAAAGGCAGTGTCATTTTGTCTAGCACCTTGCATCATAAGCATGGTAACATCATCAGTCAATGTGATTAAGTAAAACCCATGCAGCTTTTTAAGCCATTTGTTTTATTGTCATCTTTTAGAAAAAGTTCACCTGAGGTCTCTGGAGGAAGGAAGAGAAAAAAGAAATGACATTGAAGCACAAAATCAGTGTACTCAGCTGAGCCATCTCTGGGGTCACTTAGGTTAGTGAAACTTGGGGCCTTTCGCAGTGACTCAGAGTGACTTTTTATCATACTATTCTCACAAACTTATCTCTAACCCGTGAAGGGTGTGTGTGTGTGTGTGTGTGTGTGTGTGTGCGTGTGTGTGTGTGCGCGCACATGCGAGTGCAGTGCTCAAGTGCACTCATGCTTCTATGTGTGTCTCTCTGTGTGCGTATGCTTCTGTGTGTATGTGTGTATGTCTGTGTGTCTCTGATGTGCTTCTCCGTGTGTGGCTAAAATGCTAAGGTTAAACCAAGGCTCTCTCATCTAAACTAAGCAGTAACTATTATCATCTATCATTTAATTCTCTGTGTGTGTCTCTCTCTGTGTATGTATGCTTCTCTTTGTACTTGTGTATATCTGTGTGTCTCTGATGTGCCTCTGTGTGTGCGCATGTGTGTGTGTGTGTGTGTGTGTGTGTGTGTGTGTGTGTGTGCATGTTTGTGTGTTTAAATGCTACAGTTAAACCATGGCTCTCTCATGTAACCTAAGCAGTAACTATTATCATCCATCATTTAATTCTGTGGAGTGTGCTCAGGCTGTGATGCCTGCAATTCATTCTCCCTTGTTTTGTTTTAGGCTTCGTTATTGCTGTGTAAAGAAAATTGCAGCTGATGCTCCACTCTGCTGGTTTAGTTGTTAGAGTGCAAAGCACAAAGCATGCCCTGAAACCGTCCGTAAATTAACAGCAAGAAATCAAGAGCGCAAAGACTCCAAGTGCATCGCAGGGGGATTAGCTTAATGCCAACAAGATGGACGTCTCTAGATGGAGCATATTTTAAAACCTTTCCTTTTATTTTGTAATGAAAAAACATAATTCAATTTGTTGTCTTCTTGGCATATATAAAATATTAGGTGAAAGTACAAACATGTCATGTAAGTATCTCAGAATTTATGAATATGGTAAATACAATGGTTTTGCAGCTTAGTCCTCCCCAAATCATCCCCTTCTCCTGAGTCAGTTGCCTCAGGAGCATGTGAGCCCACATGTCTAAGTTCCACTTACTGCCTAGCTTGGGCATCTCAATCAGCTCCAGCTGTGGAATGATGACATTTTTGAGTGGGAAGGGCCTTGATCTTAACTTTGTTCCATCCCTATGGTTAAGTGCACACTTAGAGTAGCAGGGGCCATTTTGGTTAAAAGCCCACCAGACACTTCACTCATTGTTTTCACATAGTATTTCTTACACTAACTCCAAAAGATGCTTTTTAAAAGGAAGGCATTGGATACATTAATGCTTTCTCAGGAAACAGGGGATAGAGGCTTGATGCTTCGAATTCTTCTTTCAGGTCTGGGTACCCCTCACCCATCCCCTGTCCTAGCCTAGTCTTTGCTCCAATCCTTTTCTCACATACCCCACCTGGATGGGAACGCACTGTGCCTTTCTTTAGATAATTGTAAGCTCTTGTTCCCTATTTTAAGCTGCTGACTATCTCACCCCACACCTGTACAATGAACAAGCAATAATTCACAAGAGATGAGACTAAGATGACAGGACAGCCAACTAGAAAAAGAATTTAAGTGAGCGTTTAATGGGAAAAGAGCTATACATGGAACATAAACACAGGAAGTCAAGGTTGGCGTCGGTATTTACCAGGAAAATGGCACTAACTCACGTGGAGCCACACAATGGCCAGTTGATAGACTCAGAAACTGACACAGCCACATAGCAGCTTGCTGGGGGTTTTAACAGACAGTTGTAAACACTGCTGCAAATAGTAAAAAAATGACAGAGAAATTCTCTCAGCAGCCTCTTACAAAGTTGGAAATACAAATGGATCTGACTTATGAGTGTCTAAAAATAACTCCAGATCATTGGAAGCTGGACTTTGTGTCTTCATGTGTGTCTCTCTTCTGGCTGGGGCTTCACCATTGGCAATTCTGGGCAGCCTAAAGAACTGCAGCTCTGGTCAGCTGTATGGTCTCCAGGGTAAAAGGTCAATCGGTCCTGCGCTGTGTTGAGCGAATGCTTTGAACACTGGTCTTCAGTGAACCCCTCAAGGTGTTTGCCATTTCATCATAAAAAGGTTCTGTGTGAAGTGGTTCTGAATGCATATGTTCTGAGTCTGTAGAAGGTGGGCTGGGGGAAACTAAAAGGCAGTCCAGCAGTTTATGGTTCTAGATCTGTATGCATTAGAAACTAAAACAGCACCTTAAGAAGCTGTTCGAAAATGTGTCCAAACTGGAGCCTAGGAAACTCCATCTACAGTTGGATGAGCGTTTTGCCATGTGCGCACACCACATGGTAATACTCCAGCAAAGCACACATGTGTTCATGCGAGAACAGGTCAGATAAATGTCTCAGTTACAGTGACAAAGCAGTCCCCACAGTGTAGAAAAATGAGACAGGACACTGCTGGAGAGTCTGGATTATGTCTGTGGCAATGACAATCTGGTCATGATTCTTGGGAACCAAGAGTGTAGATTAGAGAGGGATGGGGAAGGGACAGGAGACATTTTCAAAATCTATTTACTGTTGAGGGGTTGGAGATCCAACCTAGAGCTTCACATAGGCTATGCTACACTCCTAACCCTGAAATATTTATTTCTGAGGCAATGAAATTTTACTCTGTCTTGACAGAGGTCCTTATATATCAACTTGTGTTTTCAGAATTCATCAGAATCTGTGGTTTTAAGAGAATTGCAGTATTGTGTGCACATCCTCCCTAACAGTGTTGATTACCAATAGGAGAGAAAAATAGGTGACACTAGCCAGTGGTACTGTGCAGAGCCAGGGAAAGGGCACTTGTGATGTAGGAACCTCAGCACCTGGGGCAGCTGCTATTCTTTCTCTGTCTGTTGAGATGTTAGGCCCAGGCAACTAGAGGAAGGTTATACAACTGTCTGGGGCAGTCCTGACATGGTCACGAGAGGATTTACTGTGTCTAATTCCTCACAAATGTAGGTATATGGACTGAACCTAGGCACTGCCCTCTGGGCAGCTGACCTTCCCCTACTTTTAGTGACAAAACCTGCTGGCAATAAGAGCCACTTAAAATGATTGAGTACAAATGGGGCCACACAAAACTCTTTAGTGTTCAAATTCGAGGAGATCAGTTTTGAAATAAATTCTTTCAGACATTGTTACTGGCAGTGTTAAAACTTCACATAAATTAAGGATAATCTTCTAGAATTCATTACATACCCATGGAATCACCATTCTAACCATGTTTTTAGGCATGAACCCTCTAATTTAATATGAAATTTTGTTAGTGGAGTATTTTAAAGCCTATTAAGCCACTCAACATTTGCCCTGATATAATTCTTCTGTTTCCAAGTTTAAAATGTCTGATCCTTTCTCCCTCTGTCTGTGCCTTTATTCCCTTTGTTTTAAACTAGAAGACATTATTTTTCCTAAATGGTATTTTTATTATATTTACTGTGAAAATAATGAAACAGCACAGCATAAGCAAATCACCCCCTTAGCTGCACATTTTCACGCGTCAGAAAATGGCCTTGCCTTCAAATTTTTATTTTATGTTTTCACAAATTAAACATTGGATGTAAAAGCAAGAGCAGGAATTTTGATTGCAGTCTTTGTTCGGAAGTCCCTAACATCTGACTTGTAGAGCAAATATATGGACGAGCAAACCCTTCCCACTTTTTCTTCCTTTAGTAAATGTTAGTGGACAAAAGTGTGTTCTTTTCTTGTGTGAGTAAAATGAAGTTTTTTACCCTGAAAACTTGACCCTGTAACTCACACACCACTAAGAGGAGCAAGAATGGGAATGGAGATGCTGGGAGCTTGCGTGGGTACATAGGAATGTGAGTCTGAGATATCTTATTTGCTGGGCCTGGACTAGGGTCCTCTGGAAGAGCAGTATATGGTTGAGCCACCTCTAGCCCATCTCTGATTCCTTTTAAACTGAAGGCGTTATAATGACCATGCTATCTTCTATAAAAAGGCAAGTATGCTAACATTCAGTGTCTGGCCTTGCATTGTGGGCTAACGTTCTCTAATCCCATTTGCATTGTGTTTTGGGGTTTTCCACTCTTGTCTAATTGCATATCAACCCTGCAATTTCATACAACTTGTACTTTGGTGCTTTTAACTTCTGTGATGTGAGAACTCCAGAAGATAAGCTGTCTGCTAACTATGTGTGACCTGACTATTTTGGAGCTTAGTTAAGGGACCGACATCCCTGGAGCAAGTGCTGACGGGACTGTGTCATCTCCAGTGGTCTGAGAGCTTGTCTTTGGTTACTCGTGTTTCTCTGTGTTCTTCTGGAACTCCCAGAAGGCTGACCTTGGGAGAACATGAATAGAGCCAAGCATCTCAAAGGGATTTCTAATTAGGTCACAGTCAAAGCTACTGATAAGGTTTGTGACAATGGAGTTTGCTTTAATAAGTCAATTCAAAAACGTGAAAAATTTGAAACAACACCCATCTTTCTAGATTACATCACAGTTTCTGTGGCTTGTATTTCTTTTTATTTATTTAATTTACTTGATCATAAATTGCCAATTGATATTAACAGTCTAAATTGCTCTTCCTCCATCCTTAACATCCAGCAAACAAGCAAAAGTGGCATGTGATTAACTCCTAGGTAAGCACTAGGCTTCTTGTACAGTTTGCAAGTTCTCATGGCCACACCTTGAATTTTTAGTTCTCTAAAGGCCATAACATTAGACTTAAATGTTTTCTCTGATGCCAGACATCAGAATTAAAAGCCTATTTTTTAAAAAAGTAATTGTAACACACACACACACACACACACACACACACACACATCAATATTTCACTGCTGTTTTCTTCTCTTACGTTCATTTCACTGTCTCCTTTTAACTTATGTTGACTGATTCTTCTGACCTCTTCCCAACTGAACAAAATGTGAGAAACATGAGGTGAACTCATCTACAGCGACTATCACATAACCAAGAGAAATGAATCCTGAGAGTGACAACTGATTTAGATAAAAGAATCACTGGGCACTGACAAACATTTTATAGGAGAGGATATATACATGTATGTGAGTCCTATATGCCTGTACACACACACACACACACACACACACACACACACACACACACACAGACACACACACACACACACAAACACACACACACACTAACAGACTTTTTCCCCTAGAGAAAATTCATAATTCTGATACCATTTATTAAAAATAAAATAAAAACTTAATTTGTCACTGCTCTTTCTAGTTTCCATTTTGTTTGTTCTTACCTTAATTCTTTCTTGAAATTCAGTTTGTCTTTGGAAGCCTGCCCACATTCAATGGGTTTGAAATGGCCCCAGAGGCACACGTGTTGCAGGCTTGCTATATAGATCCCAGCAGGAGGAGGGAAGGGTATCAAGGCCTAACTATGCACTCACTCCCACAGTGATGCCCCACTTCTCCACAGGACTAAAGCAATGGAGTCAAGTGACCATGGACTGAGCTTGAGACAAAATAAGCCTTTTCTTTTTAGAAGTTCACTATTTTTGTAATTTGCTACATGGATAACATAGTATCCTCTCTTTAAAGATTTCCGTGATTTGGGAGGTTTCAGCAGCTAAGTCAGTGGCAGGCTCTGTGATAGAGTGGAGAGAAGTTTAGAAGTGGACAGGTCAAAAATTGGCACATGGGCTTGCTCGGATCTACTTCAAGGCAGCAGAGGCATTTTAATTTAGTATTTTGTATATGATATAAATAAATATGAAGCCTTTTCAGTGACCATAGCAAAACAAAATGGAGACTTCACTATAATCACTTAAGTGAGTTAGGAAGAACCCAGACAAATAAAAGGTCCATGAAGGAAGCAAGAATACCTTAGACACCACCAGATGGGAAGACTGCGATGAGATGGGTGTGAGTGTCTTTTCCAACAGCATGTATGACACACATGGCTTCCAGGAATGGAGTAGGACAGAGGCAGCATGCAATGCAAGCAAGCTTCACTCTTGGAGATGGACTGCGGGAATGGGTTGTGGAGTGCAGCTCTGGAGCTTTGCTGGTTACACTATACAGGTTGCGTACTGACACACTGAACACCATGATGGTTGACTTGGGAGTCAGCTAGCTGGATTAGAGATGCCCAGGGTGCTGGTTAAGAGCAATGGTTGACTTGGGTGCCAGCTAGCTGGATTAGGATTAAGGATGCCCAGGTTGCTGGTTAAGAGTGACCTATTCTCAGCTGTTGCATTAGTTACCCTGAAAGCTTTAGTCAGCACTGGGTTGTTGTCTCCTACAGAATGGGAAGCTAGGTAGTCTAGCCCTTGATTGGACTGAGTAGAGCCCCAGTTGTGTCTGTGACCATGTTCTCAAGAGAGTTTCATGTGAGCTGGTGGACAGGGTTGTAGGGGAAGCTGTAGCCACGCCTTCTTAGGGGCTGGCTACAAGAGTACCTGAGGGCTTGTGAGGGCGTGGTCAGAGTGAGTAGGGGGACTGCGTTTTCGGTTTCGGTTTCTCTTTGCTTCTTGCTGTACAGACTACCACCGGCTGGCTGGTTCGCTCTGTAAGTAAGGCTTTTCCCTATTAAATACCCTTATATTTCTATCTGACTCCGTACTGGTAATTTCTTACTATATCTG